GGACAAAGCAAGGGACTTGGAGGTGGTGGACCAGGAAGACACAGAGGAACAAGAGAGGAAACTGCATTCAAGTTCTCCAGGAAAGAGAATCTGTATATACATGTACACACATAGAAACATATATATAAAGAGATTTATTTCAAGGAATTGATCACACGATTGTGGAGGCTGAGAAGCTCCAAGACCTGCAGCTGGAGACCCTGGAGAGCCAATGGTGTAGTTCCAGTCCAAGCCCGAAGGCCTGAGAACAAGGAGAACCAATGGTGTAAGTTCCAGATCAAGTCTGACTCCAAAGACAAGAGGAGACCAATGTTCCAGCTGGAAGACAGCCAGCCAGAGAGAGTGGGTTCTCCTTTCCTCCACCTTTTGCCTCTGTTCAGGCCTTCAACAGATTGAATGAGGCCCATCCACACTAGGGAGGGCAATCTGCTTTACTCAGTCTACCCCTTCAAATGTGAAACTAATCCAAAAACACCCTCCCAGAGACATCCAGAATAACGTTAAACCAAATATCTGGGCACCCCATGGCCCAATCACGTTGACACTTAAAATTAACCATCACAGAAGCCCCACCAGGATCAATGTCCCACAACAGGGCAGTTCCAGCTGCCTGATGGACCCAGGCACTGAGACCCCGTGCTGATACTCAGAGTGGGGCCAAACAGGAAGAGGACCCCAGCCTGGAGGAGTAAGAAGGAGGCCAGAAGTGAGCAACAGAGCTATTAGAAGTTGTGATTAAGGTACAAATCTATATTTATTGACAAAGTTGTCCACTAACTATTGTCAAGTGAAAAAGGATTAAAAGGCAGCATTTCACAACATGCGTGAAATGACTTCATTTAAAAATGTGTTTTATATATGTGTATGTGGGTGGATGTACGCACACCTAGAGAAAAGTCTGGAAGGATAAACACAAATATGTTAATTGCAGATTTTCTTTGAGTGTTGGCATTTCAGGTGACTTTTAGTTTCTTCCTTATAGCTTTCTGAATTATCTTTTTTATTTTCACAATTGGCATGCATTACCTTTATAATCAGAGAAATCAATAAAGCTATTTCCATTTTGAAAAAAATAACAGAAAATGCAAATGAGAATCTTACCAAGTCATCTTTTGCTTCCACTCTTGGATGGTTCCTCATTGATCAGACTTCTTCACACAGCCCACAGGGTCTTCCATGATGTGGCTACTACTGTGGGAATGAATATTGGCTACTGACCACAATTCTAACTGAGGAGCCTCCCCACCTCACACTGCCTCTCCAGCAACACTGAGCCAGCACATCCCTGGACATACCCTGCTATTTGTCTCTGTGAGTCTCAGTCTCCTCTTTCCGCATTAATTCTTTTCCCCTCTTCCTAATGAATGCTTACTCTCCACAAGACTCAGTCCAAGCACCTCTCCTCCCAGAAGCCATTTCTTGATCGCCCCAGTCTGAGTTTAGTGCCCCCACTTCAGCCTTCCATTTATGCCTGATGCAGATCTCCATCACAGCACCTCCGTATTGAATTATGGTTGTCCATGGGATGTGAGCGTGTGTGTCTTTCTCCACCACTGGCCATTGTGTCTCTTTCCTCTGTCTCTCTCCAGGGCTCTGGCCCACAGCCAGACTCAAAAACTTTTGGTTGACTAAATGGATTTTTTGAGTGATCTATGAGAACTGAGATCTAGGTTGTATTTTCTCATGATGGGTAAAGTGGGCCAGTGGAGATTTAGAAAGGGAAGATGTTAATCATTCTCTAATTCACAACAGTAGCCCTCCTCTCCTCTCTTTCTTCCCTTGCTTCCCTTTCCTCTTCCTTCTCCCATCCCTAGACCCACCTTCTTCCTTTTCTTTCTAGAGAAGTGTTTCTCAAATTTTGGAGAACAGAAGAATTGCCTGGGGAGCCTGCTAAATGTTCCTAGATTCCCAGGCCCTGCCCATAGTTCTGATTTCTTAGGTCAGAAGTGGGGCCCAAGAATCTGCATCTCAACAAGTGTACCATATGATTCTGATCCCACTTTGAAAAACTCTATCTTAGAAAATGTAAGACTCTTCATTTTGCCTGTCTACTAACATTAACTGAGGGAGGTGTGAATGGTGTTATCTACAACAGTCTCCACTTTCCCGTCACATTTCCTGATCCTACAGTCTCAAATCCATCTCATTAATTCAGATCTCATACACTTTCTGGGATAGAGAGCAGCTTTCCGTGTGGTTTGAAGTATGTGCTGGGGCCAAGTAACATCTCCCCAAGCCTTCAGTGCCCCGACTCACAAGTGTGATGACTTTGTCTCATTCCTTATATAACAACAATAATCATCACCATCATCATAGCCAATAAGTGCCATTTATTAAGTCCCTACTAGGTACCAGACACAGTGCAAAATACTTTACTAGCATTATCTCATTTAATAGTCACAGCAACTCCATGAGACAGATACTGTTATTATCACCACTATACCAATGAGAAAACTGAGATTAGGGAGGGTATGCCCAAAGTCACAAACTTGTAAGAGGTGGAGCCATTTGAACTCAGACTGATCTAACTGCAAATCCCATGCTCTTCTCACTAAGCCTCCTGATTTATTCTCCTACCAAAGATATCTATAATAATAATAACAACAATGATAGTACACTACATTACTCCTTGCACCAAAATTAATTCCAGAAGGATCAAAGATTTAAAAGTAACAAGATGAGGGCCGGCCCCGAGGCTTAGCGGTTAAGTGCGCACGCTCCGCTACTGGCTGCCCGGGGTTCGGATCCCGGGCGCGCACCGATGCACCGCTTCTCCAGCCATGCTGAGGCCGCGTCCCACATACAGCAACTAGAAGGATGTGCAGCTATGACATACAACTATCTACTGGGGCTTTGGGGGAAAAATAAATAAATAAATAAAATTATAAAAGTAACAAGATGAAACTTAAAAAGTATTAGAACTTCTGGTGCCAGAGAAGCTGGAAAAAGCCCACTACATCCTACCTCTCTCTAATTTCTAATTACAACTAAAAATTATGTACACGATATAAAAAGCAACTACTTGAGGATTCTGAAAAATGAAAGCAGACAGATAGAGAAGGGGAGTGAAAACTTAGAGCAGCAGCCTGTCCGGGGATAAGCTTCCCAGGTTTTCATCCTTTTCCCATGTGACTTTGACCTGAAGACAAGCCCCAGTCACGGAACTATGTGGTGGCAGTGCAGGCAGCTGAAACTCCAATAGGAACTCTGTTTCTCTGATCAGGATAATTGGGGAAAGAGGCCCCTGCAGTCCCAAAAGCATATGAGGAATTCCTGGGTTTTTTCCTCTTGTTTCTTTGCTCTGAGGGTAGGTCCCAGTCATGGGGCTATGCTATATCAGCAAGGATACAGGCAGATAAGATTTTAAGCAAAACCCTATTTTTCTGGCCAAAGGACCAGGAAAGGGTTCCCTATGAGTTGGATCATAGGGAAGAATCCTGGAGATGAGAGAGCCAGAAAAAGGAATTTAGTAATTCTCTGTATGAAACTGCACAAGGCCCAGGCTTAACTCTGAGCTGTACATCTCACGACAGACCCAAAGCAACATAGAAAAGGCTTTTGAGAAGTGAATTATGATTTAAACCACAACCCAAGTCTCAGATTAACCCATAAGTAGCACAAACAAACCCCTAAGTAGCACAAACAGATCCAAAACACCATAGCAACAGTATGAAAATTAAACTAACTTTAGAACAGCCACTCACAGAAGGGAAACACAGAATTTGCAATCTGAACCTAATGGAGCCTGTTGAAACATAAATATCAACATTTTCGAGAGGATTTTAATACAACCCAGACTCTCATAACATAATATTTTAAATGTCCAGAATACAACCCCAAATTACTTTGCACATGCAGAAAAAGAAAAACATGTCTAATTCTTAAGGGAAAAGACAATGAAAAGATACCAACTCCTAGAAGACCCAGATATTGGAATTATCAGGCAAAGATATTAAAGCAGATATCATAACCATAGTCCATGAGAGAAAGAACATTCTTGAAATGAATGAAAAGATAAATGTTCTTAGCAGAGAAATAGAAAGTATAAAAACAACCAAATGGAAATTTTAAAACTGAAAAATATGTAATCTGAAATAAGGGATTCACTGGATGGACTCAATAGCAGAATGGAGATGATAGAGGTAAGAGTCAGTGACTTTGAAGATAGACGAATAGAAATTATCCGATCTGAATAATAGAAGGACTAAAGAGTGAAAAACAATGAACAGAGCCATGGAGACCTGTGGGGCAAATGTTTAACATACACGTCACTGGAGTCCCAGAAGAAGAGAGATTGGTATATAAAAACATTTGAAGAAATAACGGCCAAAATTTCCCAAATTTCATGAAGGACATTAATTTACAGATTTAAGAAACTCGGTAAGGGGCCTGCCTGGTGGTGTAGTGGTTAAGTTAGTGTGCTCCACTTCAGCGGCCCGGGGTTCGCAGGTTCAGATCCCGGCCACAGACCTCTGCACCGCTCATCAAGCCATGCTGTGGCAGCATCCCATATACAAAATAGAGGAAGATAGGAACAGTTGTTAGCTCAGGGACAATCTTCCTCAGCAAAAAGAGAAGATTGGCAATAGATGTTTGCTCGTGGCCAATCTTCCTCACAAAAAAAAAAAGAAAGTTAACTCTAAACAAGGTAAATTCAAAGAAAACCATGCCCAGACACATAATAACAAAACTACTAAATACCAAAGAAAAAAAATACTGAGAAATCTTGAAAGAGTTTAGAGGGAAACAATACATTATTTCTAAGGGAACGATAATTCAAATGACTATTGATTTCTCATCATAAACCATGGAGGCCGGAAGACAGTTGAATATCTTTAAAGTGATGAAAGAAAAGAATTATCAACCCAGAATTCTATCTACAGTGAAAATATCTTACAAGAATAAAAGTGAAATAAAGACATTTTCAAAGGAAGGAAATGTAAGAGAATTTGTAACCAGCAGATAGGTTCTAAAACACATACTGATGGATGCCCGGCTAGCTCAGTTGGTAGAGCATGAGACTCTTAATCTCAGGGTTGTGGGTTCGAGCCCCACGTCGGGCGCACTCATTTTGGGGGCTGGCCTGGTGGCATAGCAGGTAAGTTCATACACTCCGCTTCGGCGGCCAAGGGTGCATGGGTTCAGATCCCGAGCACAGGCCGATGCACCATTCATCAAGCCCTGCTGTGGTGGCATCCCATATGCAAAATAGAGGAGGATGGGCACAGATGTTAGCTCACAGCTAATCTTCCTCAGCAAAAAGAGGAAGATTGACAGACGTTAGCTCAGTGCCAATCTTCCTCACAAAAAAATAATTAATTAATTAATTAAAATAAAATAAAACACATACTGAAGGAAATTCTTTGAGCCAAAGGAAAATTATACCAGAGGGAAATTTGGAACTTCAAGAATGAAAGAATAACAACAAAAATGGTAAAAATCCAGGTAAATAGAATATTATTTTTCACTTCTTAAGCTTTTTAAAATATATATGACTGTTGATAGCATTGTCTGGTGGGGTTTTCAATGTATGTAGATGTAATAAATATGATACCTATAACGTAAAGGAGTAAGGATAAAGGAAACTGTATGATTGTAAGGTTTCTAGATTTTACCTGAAATAATAAAATATTAATGCTAAGTAGACTCTAAATGTTCAGGCATGTATGTTGTAATCCCAGGAGGAAACAATTAATTAACTAAAATACAAAGAGATATAGCCAAAAAGCCAATTGAAAAATTTGAATGAAATACTAAATATATTTAAATAATCTGAAAGAAGGCAGGAAAGGAGGAATAGGGGAACAAAAAAAAGTTGGGAGGAACACCAGAAAATCAATAATAATATGGCAGACCTAAATCCAAATATGTCAATAATTACATTAAATGTAGATGGTCTAAACACACCAATTAAAATACAGAGGTCTTCAGACTGGACTTAAAAAAAGAGAAAAGACCCAACTATATATATATAGAGAGAGAGACATAGTTAGATTAAAAGTAAAAGAACAGGAAAAGATATACCGTGAAAACACTAATCAAAAGGAAGCTAACGTGGCTATATTAACCTTAGACAGAGTAGACATCAGAACAAGGAATATTACCAGGCATAAAGAAGAATATTACATAATAAAGAAAAGGTCACTTAGTCACTTCACCAAGAAGACATCACAATCCTAAAAGTTTATGCACTTAAAGCAGATCTTTAGGGGCCGGCCCAGTGGCACAAGCGGTTGGGTGCATGCACTCCGCTGCGGTGGCCCAGGGTTCGCCGGCTCGGATCCCAGGCGTGCACCGACGCACTGCTTGGCAGGCCATGCTCTGGTGGCGTCCTATATAAAGTGGAGGAAGATGGGCACAGATGTTAGCCCAGGGCCAGTCTTCCTCAGCAAAAAAACAAAGAGGAGGATTGGCAGATGTTAGCACAGGGCTGATCTCCTCACAAAATAAAATAAAATAAATATAAAACAGATCTTTAAAATACATGAAGCAAAAAACTATTAGAACTAAAAGGAGAAATAGATAAATCCACAATCATACTTGCAGAGTTTAACCTTTCTCTCTCAGTAACTGATAGAACAAGTACGCATAAAATTTGTAAGAACATAGTAAACCTGAACAATACTCACAACCAACTTAGTGTAATTGACATTTATAGATCATGCTACCCAACAACAGCAGAATATACATACGTTTTCAGTTCATGTGGAACATTCACCAAGATAGATGATATTCTGGGCCACAGAATAAACCTTAACGAACTCAAAAGAATTAAAATCATACAAATTGTGAGTGATATTTTACTGTTCTACCACCATATTAGTATTTGCATAGAAAAATATGGAAAAATTTCTTACGACTGTTATGGGAGTGTGGGTTGGGGTATTACCTGAGCTGCTCACTTTCTGCTGTATACTTCTGCATTTTAATTTTTTTACAAGGTCCATGTGCTAATATGTAATCAGGAAATAGTAGTGGGGGTTTTTTGTTCTCACTGTTTGACATGATTTTCCTCAGTAGTAACCCAAATCTCTCAGGTTTCCCTATGGCTGACTCTTAGCACATGAACTTTGGAACCCATAGGATTCCAGTACTATTAACACACAAGGCCTTTGGCTCTCTGCTTCACCCCCTCTCTTGGTTCTTGCCTCACTCTGGCAACAGGTAGCCATTACCATCTCCACATCAAGGAGCCAACAAAACATGGTTCTCGTGTTAGACTGTGTGTCTTTTTTCCATTAACTGACTTCTCCATTACTACTTTGCAGGATCTCAGTTATTTGAATTATGGAGAAACCAGGAATTTACTCTACTTGTGAGTAGGAAGAACAGTGGACTTAATGTCCAAGATCCAGATTTAAATCATAGCTCTGTCACTTACCAGCTGTGTGACCTCGGGCAGTTTATTTTGTTCTCTGGGCCTCAGTTTCTCCATCTGTAAAATGGTTTGACAGGGACCAAAAAATATACTTGCAAATAGTAATACTTCCTCACCTTCTCTGTTCACTAAGGAAGATTCTGTCTTTGCTTCCTTGGGCTCTCCCTCTTCCTCTCTCATCTACCCACTACCCCCATCCCCAGCAGGCTAAGGATGGTTCTGTCTTCACCAAATTTTTTCCCCAGACCTGTGTTATGCGTATCAAGGTAATATTTAGATTTATATTAAAAAGGGAAGATTGCTACTGGACTGGAGGAAGGAGAGGAAGAAGAAAAGGAGAAAGCAAAGGAGAGGAAACAAACAAGAAGTGGTCAAAAATGTTTATTGAAAAAAAAGACTAGGGAGCCAGCCCTGTGGCCTAGTGGTTAAGTTTGGCATGCTCCACGTCGGTGACCCAGGTTCAGTTCACAGGTGTAGACCTATACCACTCGTCAGTGGCCATGCTGTGGCAGTGGCTCACACACAAGATAGAGGAAGATTGGCACAGATGTTAGCTCAGGGCGAATCTTCCTCAGCAAAAAAAAAAAAACAAAAACAAAAAACAGAAGGCTATGCTAGCTCAGTCCGAGAGATTTTGGTTGGGAGTTTGGACTGGGAAAAGAGCAAAGCGGAATGTGAGACAGACAAACGGATGATAGATAGATGATTGATAGATAGATAGATAGATAGATAGATAGATAGATAGATAGGATAAATAGGAAGGGAAGAGGAAAAGAGAGAAAAGGAGAAAAGAGAAGATGAACGAAGTGGAGGGGATTTGCTCTACATAATGAACATGCTCTCTTTCATGGCTTTTTTGAGAGACAGAAGTAAAAGTTCCAATTATTTCATGATGCCAGATTGATGTTTCTCAGCATGCCAGGGTGCCCAAAAGAGGCTATTGAGTAACCCTGGCTTTATATGGGCCACCAGGAATAACCCTCTTAGCTCTCCCTGAGGTGCAGAAGATCCAATGAGATCACAGATACAAAATTATAATTGGTTTATTATTAAGTTTCCTTTGGCTTTCCACTTGGATCTTAGTCCAGACCAGTTATCCAAAATTGTGAGCACCAAATAGCTTGGATAACAGGGAAATAGTAGAATTGTAAAGTCTTTGCTTAGGTCTTCGAGCAAGGTACAAGTGTCACCTTACACATCCTTCCAATAGTGCTGGCTAGCAGCACTGCACTGGTTGAGATGGCGCATCTCACTTTAGGGCCAACCTATGTTTCTTTGCCCTTCTCACTAGACTGTGAGCATCTTGAGTGAGGAACAGTGCCTTCTCATCGCTGTATTCTCCCATCTGGCGGAGAATCTGAAACATGATAGGCAAATAAATTTGGGATAATACTATGAGGCATTAACAGGTTCTCTCTCTCTCTCCCTCCCTCCCTCCCTCTCTCTCTCTCTCTCTATCTCTCTCTCTCTCTCAAACACACACACACACACACACACACACACACACGCACGCAGGCGTTTGTACCCCATGGCTCTTCTCTCAGCCCGGACAGTTAAGACATTCCAATTTCACTGCTTCAGGAAAGGGAGGCCACAGCAAAGCAGAATTAAATTAGTTAACTTAACTTAGCTTTTGACCTTCAAAAGCTGAGCTCCCAGCATAAACAATAGATTTGGATAAATACTTGCTGGGCTAATTCTTCCCCCCGACCCCCATCCCACCCCCTGACCCAGAGGAAGTAAAAATTACCTGCTCTAGAGGAGAGAGGTGGGGAGTACAGCAAGACACTTAGATGATGGTGAGTGTCCCTGATCATGGCCCTTACCCTGCCCTCCTTCCCTTGGGCTAAGGCCAAAAGTGAGGGGATATAGTCGTGTTAGGGATATTAGATACACCTAGGTTGGCTTGGTAAGTCCTGGAATAGAAAAGACCTGGCCTCACACCAGGTGACACCTGAGGAGATGGGGATAATGCTCTCCTCTCTCCATGCCCACACACAGTAGGACGAGAGAGAGCAGCTTCAGAGTAAAAATAACCTATGACAAGGCTAGACCAAGAGGGCCTGAGATAGCCCTATGGAAGTCCCCCAGATCCTCAGAGTAGCTCAGGAGAGCAGCCAGTGTCTCCCACACTTACAAGGAGAACATAGAAGCTGATGGAGAGAAGGAAAGCCAGCAGTTCTACAGATGCCTTAAGGTCAGGATTTGGGGAAAAAAAAAACACACACACACAACAAAGGATGCCATTATTTACCAAATGTTGGAAAACCAGATGGACCACACATTTCAACAGAGGTCAGGGCGGGAAGAAGACCTCCAACGGCCATATGGCTCCTCCATCTCCATTTCATACACACACACACACACACACACACACACACACACACCCCTTCCAATGGCTTGACTTATATACAACCACAGAAAAAAAGGAGGAGGGGAGAATCCCTGAGCCAACTGAGAAAACGTAGAATTAACAAGTTTCTGCCACCAGGAGGAATGAGGACCCAAGAGAGAATTTAATTGAAGTTCTAGAAAAATCAAGCTACCTTTGTTTTGCAGATCTGCATTTTGAGCCCCAAAATTTGTACTCACTACAAATGTTTGTTGATTGAACGAATGAACGAATTGCGTCGGGGGACAGAAATTCTGCTGCAGCAAGTCTTGGTAGAGCAGTCTCGGCTGCATTCCAAGGAAGATGGGAATTGCTAAAAAGAGTATCTGCTGTCCAGTCTTTGCTTGGAGCTTATTATCTGTGGTTCCTTGAGTAGTTGACAAGGCTCTTTGGGACTCAGTTTTCTTATCTATAAAATGGGAATAATGATACTTGCCCCACCCTCCTTACAAGTTGTCATGAGGACCAAATGAGATAACATATGTGAAGGTATTTTATATGGGATTATAATAAGGGCGTGTGGATCACTCCTGTCTTGTGGTCCAAGAAGCAAGAGAAAAGTAAACGAACTCAAGGATCACATTCTGTGGTACCCCTCTTCTCGACAAAATTGTTTTTCTAGAACTGGCAAGGAACAGCGACTAAATTTCCCGCGGAACCACGTCAGTGCTCCCTGAAGACTAACAAGAATTGCACTGTCAATATCAGCACAGCACACTTCTTCAGGAAGAAATTCTCAGGGCATGAAGCAGATTTATTTTCATTGTGAAATTGTCTGCTATGCAACAACAGATTAAGCTCTGGGTGACTATTCCCGTAAAACGCGTCCTGTGCTTAGCACTGCTATTACGGGGTGGATAGACATGGTAAAGAATCAATTAAAACTCTGACACACGAAATGGAGCTCAAACCTGTTTTACAGGTTTCCCCAGAGGAAAATAATGATGTTGCATTCTACGTGGGAAGCCGATCGAGGCAAGATTTCTGAGACAAGTTCTGGGGCTTACAAGACAGACTTGAGCTTTTCTAAATCATTTTGAAGTTCTATTTAAAGGATTATAGCATTCAATTCTCTATTAGTCCAATAACATCATGGTGGAGCAGGAGGGATTATCGTCATGCGGGCATCCTCCGGAAAACTGTAAGTTCCCTTAAAGAAAGCATTTAAAGAAATGGTGAAAACATTGCAGTGTTTATATTTATTCCCATTTTGGAGGGAAAGCAAAGGTTAAGCAAGTAAAATCAGAAGGATGTTAAAACTGAATTTCGTTTCTATTTTTATAATGGGGTTCGAACACCCAAAGGGTCAGTCGTTTAGGAACACTGTTTTAAAAGAAGGTCTAGAATTTCAAGAAGGGTCTCACAGAAAATGAACAAGGGGGTTAATAGTGGAATGTGAATAATGTTTGTGGTTGCACTGCTTAAACTATGCTCCTAGACGGCAAGGAGGAATGTTAATGATAAGAACAATGTGTTTTTTTGGCTAACTCAGACATCTGTGTAAACCATCTTCGGTCTCAATGCCTGAATAACTTTTGTGCCTCTACCTGGATAAATAGAAGAGATTTTTGAGGTTCAGGCAGTATATTTTCAGAAATGTTGCCTACACATGAGCTTCGGCAGAAACAGGGAATTGAACAAGATCAAAGCAAGACAAGCATGAGCCACCATCACGGCGGAGGGACAGGCTATGGCCTGCCGAGGCAATAGGCGTGTCGGGAAATCGTCTGGGGGACTCAGCTAACCCCCGATTTTGCAGGCTAATTCCAAAGCAAAGAACTAGAGAGAAAAGATAACATGAGGGTGCAGTGCAAAGACATTTCACCAGAAGAGAGAGAAAGATAGAAAGAAAAGGAAATCCAGAATGTAAGAACAAGACTAGGCCTGCCCATTGACATGTACAGGTTTGGTGCAGAGCAGAACGTTCTCAGAGGAAATGCTCTCATGGTGCAGGAATCTGTTCAGCTAGGATAGTAAAAATGTTGACCATTCTGTTCGTGTAGTCAACCCACGACATCTTTTTAAGTGTGAGGAGATGAGAAGGAGGTTGGGGATTCCGCCTTTTAACCAAGTGAACCTACTCACTATAATTTTTCATAAACACCTTTTGTTCTCGTCTTGTTTAAGTTGCTTTCTAAATCCTGAAGTCCTCTCTATTGCTTGGAAAAAATGCCTTTTTTGCAGGATAATATGTCCTCGTGTGTTAATGCTTTCTTAATCCCTGTAGAACAGAGGTCTCTCAGGTACTGAGGGGATCTCAGAACATGCTGGGACCTTGGAGTCTTGGGGTCCTGCCAAGGTCCTTGGGGCTGCAGGGATAGAGGGTGCCCTGCATCCTGGTCTATGCCCTGCCTTGCATTCTCCCCCTCAACTCTCTCGCCTCAAATGCATACTTCTGCCACACCAGGCCTTCACCTGTGAGCTCATTCAAAAAAGAAAAATGTTTCCATTGCTTAATGCAAACAAAAAAAAATGAATATCATTAAAGTTCCAACCTTTTCATTTGACAGAGAGGGGGATTTAACTTCCCAGAGAATTATGATGAGTTAGTTAAAGGCAAACCAGCGATAGAAGCCAGGTCTGTGGATAACTAGTTCTACCATACTGGTCTTCCTTTCTCTTTGTCCAAAGTAGTTGGTAGGGTCTTCTTCACCTCACCCACCCCCAGCTCCACTCAGCTCCTCACTCTTATTCAAAGCCTTACCACATACTCCACATTTTCCTCAAGGATAAAACTGTATATAATCCGTCTATTGTCAATCTACTTCAAGAAACATTAAAACCTTCTCTGTGCAGCCCTGTACCAGGTACTGGAGATTCAGATGAACGGGACACATCACTGCCCACAGATATGTACACAGCCTGTTATAATTAAAGGCATCTTGTAAGTGTACTATGACAGAAATTCTCTCGAATATATTGTATTATTGAAACACAAGAGAAAGGGGAGGAAAACAGTTTGGCAGCTCTTCAAAACATTAAACATAGCATTACCATATGACCCAGCAATTCCACTCCTAGGTATATACCCAAAAGAGTTGAAAACAGGTACTCAGACAAATACAGGTACATGCATGCACTGTTCACAATAGCCAAAAGGGAGAAACAACCCAAATGTCCATCAACAGATGAATGGATAAACAATTTGAGGTATATGCATACAGTGGAATATTATTCAGCCATAAAAAGGCATGAATTTCTAATACTGCCACCACATGGATGAACCGTGAAAATATTCAAAAAGCTAGGCACAAAAGGTCACATATTGTATGATTTTATGTATATGGGATGTCCAGAATAGATAAATCCATAGAGACAGAAAGCAGATCGGTGGTTGCCAGGGGCTGGGAGGAGGGGCAGTGGAGAGTGACTGCTTAGTGGGTACATGGTTTCCTTTTGGGGTGATGAAAATATTCTGAAACTAGATAGAACATTGTAAACATACTAAACGCCACTGAACTGTTCAGTGTGAAATGGTTAATTTTATGTTATGTGAATTTCACTTCAATTAAAAAGAGAGAGAGAAAAAAGGAAAGGGGAAGCGGAGGGCTCTGAAGAGGCGGTGAGAGAGGGAGGAAGCCAGCTTATAGGATCAATTGAGGATGCGCTCCTGCAAGTCTGGAATGTCTTTGGACTTGATCCTGGGACAAGTGAGACAGCTAGGAAGGATTTGTGTGTGTGTGAGGAAGATTGGCCATGAGCTAACATCTGCCAATCCTCCTCTTTTTGCTGAGCAAGACTGGCCCTGGGCTAACATCCATGCCCATCTTCCTCTGCTTTATACTTTATATGGGACGCCGCCACAGCATGGCTTGATAAAAGGTGTGTTGGTCTGCGCCCAGGATCTGAACCTGCAAACCCCGGGCTGCTGAAGCAGATCGAGAGAACTTAACCGCTACGCCACCAGGCCCTCCCCGCCAGGATCTACGTTTTAGGCTGGACAGTTTGAGCCGAGGGCTGACAAGAGTAGGGAGGGTCTAGACCCGTGGAGTCCGGACACGTGGAGTCCACTGGCCTGGTGAGAGATTGTCAAGAATGTACCAGGATATAAAATACCTCTTTGATCATGTTTCAGTTAAGTAATTGTAACCACCTGCCACGCAATTTGACCTCAGAAATAGTAACTGGGGTGAAAAAATATTAGCCACAACTCTTTTAAAATCAATTGTTAAAACAGTTTGAGCCCATATTTTTGCACATCCTACCAGCCTTGGCATCAACAGAATTTTTAAAGTCGGGCCGGCCCCGTGGCTTAGCGGTTAAGTGCACGCCCTCCGCTGCTGGCGGCCTGGGTTCGGATCCCGGGCGCGCACCGATGCACCGCTTCTCTGGCCATGCTGAGGCCGCGTCCCACATACAGCAACTAGAAGGATGTGCAACTATGACATACAACTATCTACTGGGGCTTTGGGGGAAAATAAATAAATAAATAAAATCTTTAAAGTAAAATTAACTGCTTTCTTTTTCTCTGAAGATGAATCCTCAAGACTTGTCTTTGAGCAAATACTTCACCGAGGAAGGAAGCCCAGTTTTAATGAGAGCAAATTGCAGTCCAAAAATAGGTTTAGAAAAGGAGATGTGATCCAAAATTAATACGTTTATTTTCTCAGTCTCAACTTTGGCCACTTTAGCATGCCAAGAAATACTGCACACTGTAAATTTTTTAAAGTTTCCAGTGGGATGGCTTTGTACAGAGAATAAAATTTGAATGGCACCAGAACAAATCTGATCTGCTTCATATTCACCTAAGTACTAAATTCAGTGTAACCTATTGGAACCATACAGAATCTGTCAAACCAAACTGTAGAGGGAATTCAAAAGATCTCTGTCTCACAGTCAGTGCCTCTGCCAGTCAGCTTCCCTTTGTCTTCCAGAGTGACCAGCTGTTCTGAGGGAAACCCCAGGACGGAGGGGTTTTCCAGACTCGGGACTTTTAGTGCTAAAACCAGAACACTTGGGCGCCCGGCTTTCACCTTCACCAGAATCTCCTCCAAAAGTCCCTCTTCGATGCAAGATCAGTTTCATTTGGAAAGTAAAAAAATAATAGCAGCAGGGAAGAGAAGAGAGAAAAACGTGGGCATCATTCGGCATCCATAATGTGGAAACAAATACATTCAAAGAGCAAGAATGCACTTCACCTGCTCTCAGACTCACAACTTTAAACCCAAGTGCCATGACAATGATGCGGCTTTTGGGCAGGCTGTAAGGAAATGTTTTTAGTTTTTTGTTTCTTTGCGCAGAAGATCAGCCCTGAGTTAACATCCGATGCCCATCCTCCTCTTTTTGCTGAGGGAGATTGGCCCTGGGCTAACATCCGTGTCCATCTTCCTCTACTTTATATGGGACGCCGCCACAGCATGGCTTGAACAGCAGTGCGTCGGTGGGCGCCGGGGATCTGGGCCTGCGAACCCTGGGCCACCGAAGCCGAGCACGCACACTTAACTGCTGTGCCACCAGGGCCGGCCCAAGAAAATGTTTTTTTACCTTCCCAATTATTCACTCAACAAATGATGCCTACTGAGGTCCTACCATGGGCCAGGCTCAAGATCAAGTGTTGGGATCCAGAGATGAAGACGCGCTAGCCTTGCCTCATGAGATGCTCACGGGTTAGAGATCAAGTAGAGGAGATGTATTGGGTGACAATCAAGTCTGACGTAATGTAATTAATTATTAGACCTCTCAGCTTCCAAGAGCCAGGCATTTATGTACACCATCTGTCATTCTCACAACTACACCTCAAGGTAGATATTATTATCCTCATTTTTAAAGATAAAAAATAAAATAAAAACTGAAGCTCAAAGAGGTGGAACTTGCCCCAGGCCACCCAGCTAGCAGTGGCAGAGGCAGGCTGTAAATCCCGATTCTGAGCCAGGTGTGCTTGATTCCAAAGGTTCTGCCTCTCCTGCTATTCCCGGGTCTCTTTCGGTGTGATCAGCGTTAAAATCAAGGTCATTCAGACTTCTGACCTTAATCCAGCTTGTTTTAGCCTTTCATCAGAGAGCAACTGTTTCTACACTCTGAATTGATGGCAAAATTGCCAGGTTTTCAACTTTCATGCTAATGGCAGGGGCAGGGGTGGGAAAAAGCTAGATATCTATGTTTAACTAGCAGACAAATGGAAACTGCTATTAGAGGCTACAT